TCTCTGAGTTTGTTCTTATAGTTTCGTTCTGTTCTCGACTCTTCCATCTGTTCATTTAGTTCTGGGAGGTGCTGCCATGTATGTCAGTCTGGTTGTTGTCTGTTCAATACATCTTGATTGCTTATTTGTTGAATTTCATCATCATTGACTTTAGTGGTTGGTGCATATTAACTGGTCTTCCTTATTGTTGCTGTGGTTAAATAGCAAAGTCCAGTGCTGATTTTACAGTGCCACATCAGGAGTCTGGTCTTCCTTGTAGGCTTATGGGTATTATCCTATAATAGACAGACTTATATCTTGAAGAGCTCTTTTTGATGAGGTATCTGCAATTCCTCTTCAGTTTGTTATTCCCAGCATAGTAAACCATGTGATCATCAGATTAAAAATGGCCAATACCAGTCCATTTCAATTCACTAATGCCTAGAGTATCAATGTTTGTGTTCCATTTCACTTTGGACAACTTCAAGTTTTCCTAAATTCATATTTTTATACACTCCACATTCTGATTATTAATGGATGTCTGCAGCTGTTTCTTCTTTTTGACTTGTGCTTCAATCAGCAAATGAAGGTCCCGAAAACTTTACTTCATCTATGTCATTAAGGTCAACTGTACTTTGAGGAGATGGCTTTTCTCCAGTCATATTTTGAATGCCTTCCAACCTGAGGAGCTCATAATTTTGTACTATATCAGAGAATATTTCACTGCTCTTCATAAGGTTTTCAGTGACTAGCCTTTCAGAAGTAGTGCACGTGTCTCTCTTTCTTGTCTATCTTAGTGTGGAAGCTCCATTGAAACCTGTCCACCATGGGTGACCCTGCTGGTATTTAAATATAGGTGGCATAGCTTCCAGCAACACACAGCCACCACAGTCTGACAAACTGGACAGATGAGTGGTGAATCACCTTTGTAGTAGGAATAAATTACTTCTAAATTTAAGAATATGGAGGAGCCTCGGGTGGTGTAGTGGGCTATGAGTCAGACTACTAAATACAAGGTCAGCAGTTTGAAATTACCAGCTACTCCATGCAATAAAGATGAGACTTTGTGCTCCTGTAAAGCTTTACAGCCTCGGAAACCCAATACAGAGTTGCTGTAAGTTGGAACTGACTCTATGGACCTATTCCAAGTAACGTAACTATTGTTGTTAAGTGCCATGTTGATGTTGTTGGTTGCGACCCATAGAAACCCTGTATATAGAGATTCCAAGGAATGCCTGGTGAGTTTGAATTGACAACCTTGCGGTTCAAACCGACCTTGTGGTCTATCCCTAATCCTAATCTGCCATACCAGGATTCTAACAGATAAAACATTTAAACATTTACAACATCAGGCATCCTGTCAAAATTGGTAGGCAAAAAAAGCAGGAAAATATGACCCATAACATGGAATGATACAGATGTTAAAACTAGCATCGAGGATGATACATGTCTGTTTTATATTTCATCTATGTTCAATCAAGCATATGAACATATGGAACATGATATGGTAATTTTATAAAATGTTTTTTAAAAAGTAAATTAAACTTCTGTTGTTGTTATGGGCTATGGAGTCGGAACCGACTCACAGCAACCCTGTACAGGGTTTCTGAGGCTGTAAATCTTTATGGGAGCAGAAAGCCTCATCTTTCTCCCGCCGAACAGCTGGTACTTTTGAACTGCTGACCTTGCAGTTCGCAGCCTGATTCGTAACCACTACACAACCAGAGTTCCTTAAATTAAACTTCTAGACATTAAAAAACTACAATATATGAAAATACATTGAAAGGCATTACCAGTGA